CACACACACACACACACACACACACACACATACTCACAGTCTGTCATATACAGGCCATCTTTCTCTTTTCTTCCCACAACTGTGTGTGTCTGGCATTCGCCTTCCACCCTTAAAAAAAAAAAACAGCAAAAACTCACTTCTGAATTTACTCTTTCCAGATTGCTAATATTTCATTACTGTGTTAGTAGCATTAACTGCCTTGAAGTAATTTTTGATTAGGGTAAATAAAACCTTCTTTTGAAGACTGAAACAGCAACTCTGGGGTCATGATTGGCATGGGCAGTAAATCTAGGCTTCCAAAAGAAGACTCTGTCCTCAATTGTCTACACACCTCTACTATTTGTGACTGGTTTCAACCAGAATTACCCAACATGCTAAGACCATAGGAAAATGGCACAGCCAATCTGGCTGAAGTCAAGGACACAACTCAGGCTGTGGCTGCTGTTCTCTGAATACACCCAGGAAACCAACTCAATTTTTCATGCATAGCCCACGTATTTGAGTGAAAATTTCACAATGACATTCATGTTCCTATTTCTCAGTCCTGTCCCTGTGCATTGGGTGAATGTCACTTACTTGACCTTGAATGTGATTGTGAGTGTCTGGCATTCGTCACTGCACTCCATGTGCTGAAAGTAAGCTCTCAGAGGTCCACCTTTGAGTACCTTCTCCACATTATCTGCACCTATGTAAAGGGTGCGCCAATTCCCGTCAACCTAAGGAGCACAGACCCCATTTTGAATGTCGGTTAGTCAATCTATTTCCTGTTTTTTCAGCAACATTCATCCTAATTATTACATATATTTTAGGTCAGTCAACAAGTAGACCTAGTGAAATGTAGATGTCTTATTCCTGGAGAGTAAATCATGAGATGACATCATCACTCCTTCACACTAGATAGAACCTGGGACACTGAGATACAGTTCACATTGTGTCAACCAACTACAGGGAAAGCCCAATCTGAAATTTTTGCATCTTAACCTTCCTTCACGCTGCAGGCAGATCTCATTGAAAGCATGTAAGGAGTTGGAAAACACGAAGATTGAATTACAGATAGGATTTGGATATGGTATGGAGATATATTTTATGATGTATGATGAACATGCTCAAACCAACCTCAGGGTGTTTATGAATACACCAGACCCTTTCATCCCCAAATGCACATACCTCTGAGGGAGTGATTTCAGGATTGTTATGATGTGCACAGGACACACCTAACGCAAGAGCGAGCAGCAGGAACTTCACCATGATAGAGCCTGGATTCACTGCTTTTGACAGAGTTTGGAGTCCGACAGGTGTTGGAAAGACCCAGAATCTTCTCCACCTTTTATAGTATTTATCTTTGGCCTGAGATGTGGTGGGTGGATTGTCCACAGTGAAATTCTGTAATATCCTGTTTGGCGGCAACAGCCATGGACAACAATTCTGTTTTTCTGATAGCTTCCTGATGAGACTAATTTGATTTAAGCCATGAAATTGTACTTTCTGGCCACTGTGGATGTGGGAAAGCTGTCAAAACCCACAAACATTCATGTCCCTAAAGTCCAACTTTCTCATTTGGAAGAGGTGGAAAATGTGGGGTTTTTGACTCTTGTTTTTTTAACTATGATAAATTCTCCATCAGGCAGACCCTTTGACCACTGAATACAATATGGATATTAATCACTTTTCATTCAATTAAATATCACTAGACATGTTGTTCTGGAACGTTTTGCAATGTTGGAACATTCGTGTAATAGCCTTTGAGAAGACGTGTGCTGTTTATCTCCTGGGCAAGAATTTACAATTTTGATTCATGATATGAAACATTTTTATAACTTGATATTCTCATCAATAATGTGGAATTTTTTGTTTGTTTGTTTTTCGAGACAGGATTTCTCTGTGTAACAGCCCTAGGTCCTGGAACTAGCTCTGTAAACCAGGCTGGCCTTGAACTCACAGAGATGCACCTGCCTCTGCCTCATGAGTGCTGGGATTTAAGGTGTGCACCACCACCACCACTACCACCACCACCATTACCACCACCACCTCCACCTGGCAATGTGAAAATTTTCAATGATGTAAATTCTCATTGTTTTATGGATCAGTTGTTGATATCATGTCGCGGTAATGGTCATAACTTATTCTAACTTTATATTTTCAATACTTGATATATATACACATTTATATCTGTTTGTTATTATCTTATTTGACAAATGTGTCTCTGATCCATTTATGCAACTTACAGTCAGTTGTTAATTTTCTCCTGATTCTGTCTGATGATTTCTCTACATTTTCTCCATTCAAACCTTTGGTTAGTAGAAGGATTTGCATATATTTACCAAAATACATCATTCAATATTTATGTTTTTAAAATTATTTTTCAACATTTCAAAGACTTTTAATAAGAAATGGTCACCCAACCCATGGCCACGAAGGCTCTTCATATATTTTCTTCTTGCTTCATTGTGTACCATATATATTTGATTCTTAATACATTTTTATGTATCTCCATCTTGATTATTGCCTACTTGCGTATTTTTGATTCTCTGTGAAATAACTCAATTCCATGGTACAAGGTTGACTACAAACATCAATGTCCTCCATTGATTTCTTGAGAAATCTCTATTTCTCTACAGAATTCCAGTGTTCTTCAGTTTGAAAATAGTGTTGGATAAATTTCAATGATAAATCAACCAAGATTAGCCTTCATTTAATACCTCCCAAAGTGGAAAATTACCTAAGACATTACAAGCATTCATTAAAGTCCTTCTGATTTTTCCTTGAGACCCAATAACAACAACACATTAATCCTATTTTCTGAGGGACCCTTCTGGAAAATTCTATATGGCCTTATACAAACTCAGGTTTATCGTTCCACATTTCCAACAGCTTTATCAAAATGTAAGTTCTTTCTTATTCATTAAGTGCAGTGAAGTTTTATCCCCTCTACATGATTAAAGAAAGAGGATACTATAGAGCCTAAACCAGAGACTTGTAAAAATGAAAACAAATTCTGTCTCGTGTCAGAATATCTGTTGGTTCTGACGGATCTTAGAAATTATCTGATTGAAGTTTAATATTGTGTTCATATATATGTATATATATTTATTTTATATTTTTCATATATGGATTTTTATATATTTATATATTGATATATTTTTACATGTTTTATGTATAAATACGGATACATTTTATATTGATGTTTATATAATCCAATTTATATATTATGACTATATATACATATGTATTTGTTTCCATTTCAAGTAATTTATCAGTTAAGTACCTTAACCACATATTTTATCCATAGCAGAGAAGTGAAGGAAGAATGGAAAATATAAGACTTCAAATCTACAGAGTAAAAATATACAAAATATTGACACAACGGATTGTGTTACTGGAGACATGGCCAAGCTTTGAGCTCTTTAATATCTGGCCATTGAGAAGAATTTGACTAAATTTTCCACAGCCCACTGACCTTCACCTCCCCAAAAAACAATAAACATGTATTGATGCTTCTCTTCCTTATTTCTGTGTCCTTCTGTATTGGATGCAATGTTTGGATTTGATTTGTTTTGTTTCCTTTCCTTTGATGTAGTAATCTCCAGATTCTTCTGTGTGTTCTGATTTTAAGTCAAAATCATGGGAAATTGCGGTACTAGACGTTCTGAGACTTTGTTAATGGAGAGAGATGGATCTTCCAAATTCTACCATTTTATTGGTGGGGAATTCCTGTCTTTCTCAGAGCCTGGCTGCCATCCACTTTCTCTTGGTTTGTGGGACTCTCCATGCTGTGTGACTTAAACTTTGGAAAGTTCACAGCCTTGGGAGAAATGTTGTAATTAAAGTATAAACTCAAAAAAATTAATTGAAAATTTAAAAAGAAAAGAAACTAATCAAATTTGTGTTGTTTCAGGTCTTAGAGAGAAAATGTTCAACTTTTCCCTGTTCAATGTTTTAAGGTTGTACTAGCATATGTTAATTATATTAATTACACATGATAATGGGTCTAATTGTGACACATAATAATGGGTTTCATTT